AGCCACCTACAATGCACCTGATATCCATTGTCCGCTCCTCGAATAACACTGATAGTCTACACGCCGTATGCCCTTCCTTACGCAACACATGCCTAGTAGTTGGGGACGACTTCATACGCCCTCTCTAGTGTGCCAAACAACGGGCGTCGCTTTCCCCTTTTCGGAAAGGCGCTTTCCTTTCTTCATTCCTTGAACAAAGGCGACGCCTGGTGAGATTCGAACTCCCGGCGTATCCTTACTCGTTACATGGTCTTATTCACCAGACTACTCAGTCACTTGGTTGCCTAGAAGCACATACACGTGGCGATCGTCCAGCATTCAATCAACAAATCAGACACATGGTACATGCAACATCGTGGAAACACGACCAAACTCCTCCCGTAAATAGAGTCCAACAACACCCAAGAGGCAACGCCCTCCGTCATCCAATAACTGCAAGATCGAAATAGTTCCACCTCAATCATGAGAGGACGACCATAACTCTGTCACGTTGCAGAATATCTGCAGACCGGGCGCAAAACTCTCCGAGCATTACACTCTCCAAAACAAAAAACCCACGCACGGCGCCACCCTCCCTTCTTCTGCAACCACATAGGCCACACAGGACACACAAAACAAGCGGTGACGCGTGAAACTCGAGCATGTGGCGGCGGAAACACCCATGGATTTCAACAAGCAATTAACAGCGATCTGTGCAAGTCCGCAACAGCGCCTCACTTGCGACTATTCACGTGCAGTACAAGTTATCGCCCTTTACTGCTAAAGGCCACATACAAAAGAATCAGAAAAATAAAACAAAATAAAACACATTCCGGTACCAACCAAAATTAAGATAGTGCCCGCGGAAATCCACCGCGCGGCTGGTCCGTTTTGCTTCCCTCCCCACCCGCCCACACCCGACGTCCCTCGGCGTCCCGACGTTCCTCGGTGTAGCGGTGTAGCAGACAGGCACACGACGGCTTTCTCGTGTCTTTGAACTCCACCATCCCACAGCTATTTATTTCCGGGCCCCGCCAGCTGATGATGTAGAGTGCACGCGGTGCCCCACGCGCCTTGAAGTTCGCTGCCCCCTTCCCGCTCTTGGTAGAAGGCAGCCACGGCCACTGCCGTGCTGCTGGGTGTGGCCAAATACTCCAGCACTTCTCACACAACTCCCGTGATACCCCGCCTATCCATCGGGGCCAGGAAGCACTTCTCTCCCCGCATATCCATCGGGGCCAGCAAGATTTTTCTGGTACCCTTCCCCGCACGCACGACAAGTTGGGTTCGCGTGCCCCCTCCTACACGCTCCTTAATGAGGATAAACACAAGAGAGCACACACTACTCTCAAGTGTACACGAGTGTTCTCCACCCGTGTTCGCGGGCCACATACCTTGCGGGTACAACCCGCGGGCATTCCCGCTCCGGCCTTGTCTCCAGACCCGCCCCAGCAGACATTGGTGTTGTATACCTCCAGGCCATCTCCCGGTCTTGTGTTCCTTCCATGCTGCTGGGGTGCAGGCGGCAGAACTCCACCGCCTCCGCGTGCCCCCTCCTACACGCCCTTTTAATGGGGACAAACCGATATAGCAACCGGCTCGGGAGTAGATGATACTC